CCCCCCCCCCCCCCCCCCCCCGGGGGGCGCGCCCCCCCCCCCCCCCACGCCAGCCCTGGAGCCCGCGCCGCTCCCGCTGCTGCCCCTTCCCGGCTCTGCAGAGAAAAATTCTTTTATTTGGTGGTGGTGGGGGAAAGTCTTCCTCCGCCCGCCCTCCTGCCTGCCAGCCTGCGAAAAACCGGTGAGTGCCCCCCACCCCGTTGCCTTGCAGCTGGGAGGGGAAGGGGCTAGTTGAGGGAGGGGAGGAGGAGGAGGCGCCGCACGTGCGCGGGGGATGCAAAGCCAGGGAAGGGTGCGGGGGAGGTCGTGGGATGAGGGGTGGGTGGGCTTGTCCTTGGAAGGACGGCACGACGTGGCTGGGGGGGACTGCATGCCTCCCCCCCCCAGAAATGGATCTCGGCTGCTTGGTCGCCATCCTGCAGGCAGGTGGGTTGCAGGGGTTCAGCAGATGGGGCTCTGCCCCCGCTTCCCCCCAAAAGGGGGGGTTCTGGACTTCCTTCCCCCCCTTGCAGGGAGAGCGCCCCCCCCAGAAAGGGGTCTCCGTTGCTTTGCCCTCTTTCAAGGAGGGGAGGAGGGCACAGGTGAGGAGGGGACTCTGGGCCCCCCCGGGGGGGGGGGTCTCGCCGGCTGGGTCCCCCCCCCCCCCGGGAGGTGCGATGCAGGGGCTCAGGATTCTCCCCCACCCCCAAAAGGGGGTCTCGGCTGTCTTGCCCCCTTGCGGGGAGGGAGGATGTGAAGGGGGCTCTTAACTCCCCCCTAGAAAAGGGTCTCTGTTGCTTTGCCCCCCCGTGCAAGGAGGGAGGAGGGGAGGCCACAAGTGAGGAGGGGGCCCTGGGCGCCCCCCTAGGACTGGGTCTCGGCTGCTTGGTCCCCTCGCAGGTAGGTGGGTTGCAGGGGTTCAGCAGAGGGGGCTCTGCCCCCCTCCTCCTAGAAGGGGCTCTGGGCTTCCTTGCCCCCTTGTGGGGAGGCAGGAGGGGATGCAAAGATGGTGGGGGGGCTCCAGGAAAGAGATCTCGGCTGCCTGGGCCCCTTGCAGGAAGGTAGGAGGGGAGGGCACAGGTGAGGGGGGGGGTCTCCAGGAGCCCTTAGTAAGGAATTCTCAGCTGCTTTGCCCCCTTGAAGGGAGGTGGAATGGGGGGCAGGCACAGTCAGGACCCCCGCTAGCAGCTTCTCTGCAACTACCTTGTCACAATGATCAGGAGCCCCCCCCTCCCAAAAAGGGTTGCTTTGCCCCCTTGCAGGGAGGCAGGAAGTGAAGGCCCAGGTGAGGAAGGGGCTCTGCCTCCCCACCAGAAAGGGATCTCTGTTGCTTTGCCTCCTTGCAGGCAGGTGGGAAGGGATGCAAAGGTCAGGAGGGGGCTCCAGCCCCCCCCCCCCCCCCCCGTCCCCTCTGTCCCCCCTGGTCCCCCGGCAGGGGGAGGGGGGGGGGGGGCGCAGACCCCCCCCCCCCCCCCCCCGCCAGCACCTTCTCTGCAATTGTGTTGGCACTCCCGGTTGGGCACCATCCTCCTTGGTGCTGGCCCTGACTACCTGCCTGAATTCCTGCCCAGAGAAGCAGCCCCAGCGTAATCCAGGTTTGTTCCAGCATGCCAAGCAAGTGAGACAGGTAGATCCCGGTGGAAAATCCACCAGGTTGCTGCTTCCTCCTGGTTTGATTGACTGAGTGAACCACTTGTGTTTTTGGCACCCTATCATTCCCACCTCTGTAATTCAGATTTTTTTTTTTTTTAAAAAAAAGAGAGAGATAGCAAAATGGAACTAACGGCAACGATCAGGAGTAAGGACCCACTGGAGGAAAATGGTAATTATGATTATGCAAACATGGCCTGTTTTGGGTGAAGGCAGGACGGGGGTTATTTCAGGAAGCAGGTTAAGCAAGATGTTGGGTGATTCCTCCTGTGTCATACCTCCATTGGGCCTGGCCTGGAAGCTCCTTTTCAGGGTGAGTGCCAGGCCATCTGTCGAAAGGTGGAATTTTCAAGCTTTATTGGTTTTAAGGGACACGGTGGCTGAATGACTAAGACACTGAGCTTGTCGATCCGAAAGGTCGGCAGTTCGGCGGTTTGAATCCCTAGCGCCGCATCACGGAGTGAGCTCCTGTTGCTTGTCTCAGCTTCTGCCAACCTAGCAGTTCAAAAGCATGTTAAAAAATGCAAGTAGAAAAATAGGGACCCCTTTGGTGGGAAGGGAAGAGCGTTGCGTGCGCTTTTGAAGGCGTTTAGTCATGCTGGCCACATGACCACGGAGATGTTTTTGGACAGTGCTGGCTCTTCAGCTTTGTGATGGAGATGAGCACTGCCTCCTAGTGCCAGAAATGACTAGCATGTATGTGCGAGGGGAACCTTTACCTTACGTATGTTTTAAAAGGAGGGTAATCTATCTTGGGGTGTCTGTCTTGATCTTCAGATGCTGAGGGAGAAGAGGTTATTGAATCCCCCCCCTCCATCTTTCGTCTGGTGGGAGTAACGTCCATGACTCTGAGAGTGACGCTTGCTGGGAACTCCTCTTAGGATTATCCTTGTAGGTAAGATCAACATGAGAGAAGTGAGCTCTAGAGACCTCTAAAAGCCCACTCCCCTAAGAGTAGCAGAGTGACAGAGGTGGAGGGGAACCTTGGAGGAAATGGTTATCCAGTCTCCTCTTAAAAATCCTCCAGTGATGGAGGACGCACAACTTCTTTGACCCTCCAGCGGCCAAATCGGAGGAGGATGAGGAGGAGGTGTGGGCGTCAGGGTCAGCATCCAGGCAACCTGGAGAGAGAGAGAGAGGCAGAGCCTGGGCCATCCATCAGCCCTCAGGTGGAGAGTCAACAGCCCCCAGATCTGGAGGTTGCTGATGAGGAACAGCTGGGTCCAGTGCCTGATGTGCAGAAAGCAAAGGAGAGCAGTGGAAATCTATGGGCCGGTTCTTGGGATGGAAGAACCAGGTCTGGAGGTGGCTGATGAGGAAGAGGAGGAACAGTTGGCTCCAGTGCCTGATGCGCAGAAGGCAAAGGAGAGGAGAGCAGTGGAAATCTATGGGCCTGTCCTTGGGATGGAAGAACCAGGTCTGGAGGTGGCTGATGAGGAAGAGGAGGAACAGTTGGCTCCAGTGCCTGATACGCAGAGGAGAGGAGAGCAGTGGTAATCTATGGGCCAGTCCTTGGGATGGACTTGTTAGTCTGCCGTGAGAGAGAACCTTTTTGCTTCTCTCCTTTGATGAGTTTCCATCCGTTGCTTGTTGTCCTAACTTTTAGTGCTTTGAAAAGATCAGAAATCAAACTTGGGGCAAAAAGAAAAAAGAAACTGGCAAAAAGCTGCAGTCTCCAGAAACTTTTCAAAAAGTTTGAGGGCCAGGTAAGGTTTCCTCTGGTTACTGCAGAGCAAAAGAGAAACCATCACAAGTCATCTAGAAACCCGATCTCAGTAGACCAAAGCTTCAACAGAGCCAACGCTGAAAAAGGAGCTCAATTTTATTTATTTATTTTGCCAGGATGCTTATAAGCTGGACCGGTGGAATAGTTTTTAAATAGTGGTTAAAAAGCTTTTAACCAAAGGAAATGTGAAATTCTGCAAAGCAGAAATACAGCATCTTAAGGCTAACAGGCCTGGCAGAATGCATAATTCTTCTTCTGGGGAATTTTAAATATAACTAGCTGGATAACTGTGCTTTGCTGCAAAACTATGTGATCGGGCTTAGTTTTTGGGGAGGAAAATAAGGGGGGGGGGAATTGTGCCTCTGCCTACCAGCATCCATCAGTATTTATCTGGCTAGCATCCAGTCAGTGTATGAGAGAGTTGAGGGCTGTTTGGAAAGTGAAAGAGTATTTGCTGTATGAGGAAGGAGGAGACAGAGAGGAGCCTGGGCGTGGCTTAGTTCAACTGTTCTGTACTAAAGCTGGTTGGTGCTCTGAAACTGAAACTCCTCTGTGTTTTGCATTTCTTTCCAGGTAGGGAGGGGGAGTAGAACTCCTTAGCATCAGAACGTGATAATAATAATATAGGAAAAACTCTAAATGCTCTGATGATCAGTCCAAAAAATCCTTTTCTTAGTGAGCACCTAGAAGCCAAGAGGAAGATACGGGCCAAATTTCAAGTTTGTAGGCTTTATGGTTCTGGACATTTTGTGTTCCTCTTCTTTCTCTTCTTCCTTCTCCCCTTCCTCTTTTTCTTCTTTCTCTTCTTCCCTCTTCTTTCTCCTCTTCCTCCTCCTCCTCCTTTCTCCTTGAAGATTGTTTTTTTCCTTTACAAAATTAAAAGCTCGACACATTTACACTTTGCCAGTTTTCAACCCTTCTACCCCTGCTCACCCCACGTTCCCCTCTTGCTCCCTCTTTCTTCCCCTCTTTTTGTCCTGATGGAAGGACTGTTCCCATCCTTTCATCCCCAGCTGTCTCTTCCCCTTCTCTCCCCCTCCATCTTTAACGCTCTCATTTCCTCCTTCCCCTGGACCGGGCTTCTTAGAAGCTCTATTTCTTCTGCGGTTGGAGAATTTCCTCCTTAGATTTTTCTCTACCGTTTTGTTACCATCCACACCTCTTCACTGTCATCCTTTTGGGGCAATCCCCATAGTGTCATCCTCCCTAGACCGATTTTTCTTTTCTCAGAAAAGAAACTACTTATGCAAATCAAAACTCCTCGCTGCTTGTCAGCAAAAATAACATCACAGTTCCAAATTCTTTCCCCCCAAAAAATTATCTGTCCATTACGCCCTGATAGAAAAGTCTCTGGTTATATCTTTATATTCCCTTCTGTATTAAGATGTGAATCCTGCTCCCAATATTGATGTTGTGTATGCCGACAGCAGCAAGAATATACTCTGTGCACAAAAAAATGGAAAGATGCTTTGATTCCCACCATGGAAAAAAATGGCTGCAAAATTTGATGGGAGCTGGCAGAGATGGCTAAATTGTCTGATTTGATTGAATTAAAAAATACAATTAATTTAAGATAAAAGTAAAGGTTCCCCTCGCACATACATGCTAATCGTTTCTGGCTTTAGGTTACAAAGCTGAAGAGCCAGCACTGTCCAAAGACATGGTTATGTGGCCGGCATGACTAAACGCCGAAGGCGCAAGGAACGCTGTTCCCTTCCCACCAAAGGAGTCTCTATTTTTCTACTTGCATTTTTTACATTCTTTCGAACTGCTAGGTTGGCAGAAGCTGGGACAAGTAACGGGAGCTCATTCCGTGACGTGGCGCT